TAATCTTGTCGGAGAACATCTTGACCATGGTTAGAATCGAGCCGCTCAGCGTTTTATTCGTCGAAGATATAGTTGAATTTAAATTCGGCTAGTTTTAATGGTGAATTAAATTTAGTGTTGGTATTAGCCTAACTTGTGAGATAGCGGGCAGCACTTGCCGTGTGAACTAATCCAATTCGAATGCGATATATTGATGTGATGTCTATAAGGATGTTCCTGAAAACTCGAAATCTTTAGATGAATACTAACTGATGAAATCTAGTGGTGTGCTATGCTTAGATGATTTGAAGTATGGGATAAAGTGCTCATCGAATGAGGCCTTCGCATTGAATAGGATGAGCAAAGACTTGGACTTTGTTACAGTTCGTTTCGACCCTGCATAGCCCAGGAGTTTCCCATGGACCGAGCTAGGGTGATAATAGGGCGTGTGCTCCTTTAGTCAGGAGCCCTCGGGGAGAATTGGTGGGACGGGGAGGGAGCGGTTGTAGTGTCGATCCCAGAGTAAATGTTAGGAATTAAGCGATATTCGCTTGTGAGTCGATGTTAATCGAATCGATACATTGATTGTGCTCATCGGAATATAGAGGTGCTAGTGCTTCTACAACACTGCCGAAAGTAGTGGAGAAAGTCGAACGATGTGCCATGATCTACGCAGTGCAGCACTATTTGAGTTCCACTAAATTGGACAGCTCAACAGGATACACTGGTCTGTAGTAAGTTTTATCTATGTTGATCTAGACTTTCCGAGACGCGTTGAGTTCTCGCTCTACAACCAAAGGTAGGAAAGTCGGGGTGTTGGTCGCACTGGTGCTCGCGCTTTCGGCCTGTGCTACTGCAGTAGTTACAACTTCTTTGATAGCTATCATTCTTTGCATTTAAATTTGGGCTTTCGAACCTCACATGTACGATTAAGCACTATTGCGCCAATGACTCATCTTTTATGAAATTTGTGATGATGCTTGTTTCCAAAATAGAGGATTCTCTTTGTTACAGCTTGGATTTCAAATCCCATTTTTGATAATATATAGTCGATTTCAAGTTGAATCAGTCGTCATACGGGATAAAATTTGAAATGTATTGGGAGCATCTTGATAGCCTTGTGGAATTATAAAAAAAAGGGAAAAATGACTGAATCAATTGTAGAGACAAGTACATATATGGAAATTTTGAATATCAAAATTTTGGTGTTATATTTACTGCCCAAAATTTCTCTAAAATTACAGCGATAAAAAGCCTTCTCTCGACGAGTTATTCCTGAATAATTTTAACCGGTTATTCAACAGCCACAATTTGGGTGCGTATGCTGGAACCATTCAAAGTAGAGTCTGTCATTTAAGATGTTCACTCAAGCGCCTATATCGACCCTAGGGAATGATACGAAAAACCTTTGGCTGTACAATCATGTTGTCATCTTCTCAGAAACTGACACTGCTGGAAAAAAAGTCTTGCAGACTTTTCATCTTAAGAAAGGTATATTTACATGCGACTCATTCTCTTCTAAGAAGAGATGTATCGAGATGGTAGACTATATCATTGTATTTAATAGGTTTATGATGTCGCTGGTAGTCTCGTATTAAGTATCTTGAGGTGCCTATTTCTCCTGTTTCTTGAAAAATTCCTTCATTGAGCCTAGCGACAGCCCTCATTTGATAGCGGCAATTTCCCACATGGTTCCTTTTATCTATTTTTCCTTCTCTCATATATCCTTCAAAGATTGATCTCATCGGATTTCTGCACTGTGATTCAGGACCTCTTGAGTGTATCTTTAGTGCCGCGAGCGTATATATATAGTGGCTCACAAGTCAAGATATCACTTGAGCTAGATGCATATTCATGGGAGATGATACGTGACTTTGACAAGAAATGGGACTTGACAGGAGTCAATCATCTGTCTAAGTTGATACTTTCGCTGTATTATTATGTTGGCTCATTTTGAGTGTCAGGTCTTAAAGATTTTTTTCAGTGCCGGTAGTATTGAGAATACTCCTGTCGAATGATAATGCAAATATGAATAAAGATGTGAAATTGGTTGGGGAGTGTGAAGCACTAGATTGTATAATGTGACGAGAAGTCCGGGACCCTGAAATGAGACACCTGCACCAGGCGATGGTGTGCATATAGCGATCTCGAGAAACGAGGTTAACACTGTCACACATGTGAATGATGTTAGCCCCGATATTTCATCATGCGCATTCTGAAAGTGTAGTCCTCCCCCCTGAATATTCAGCGTCCCGAGTTAAGGTTGATCGAGACACTAAATTCGTCATTTAAATGGATAGGCCGCTATTTCGCGCCTTGACTTGCAGGAAATTGTCCTTGGGGAGTTGATTGCAGCATACGTTTTTCGAGGCTCATTGGGGGTAGAGGGGCAGGAGGAACAGACGCGTTGGGCTTCGCGAGTATCAATGAAGCATCTCCTGAAACCATCATATTCCTTGGCCTCGCCAGCCTAGACCAGGAAATATGAGGGCCGACCTGAGAATCTCAGCTGCGAATCTTTGCCTGGCGCAGGAATAGTTGACAGGGTGCATCGAGACTTGCACGGATTCAAAACGATGATTTAGATGAGACGGAAGCGGGCCAGCTGGAATTAAAAATCTAGGTGAGCGACGGACATCGATGTCTCGACAACTGGACCGAGGTTTCATTCAAGCCCCAATTCAGCCCAAGATATTTTTTGGCGGTCTGGCCACGGCGGCTGTTCCTTCAGTTTTGACGGTCGATGCTACGAGTAAACGTCGGAGCCAAGCGCATGTCCATGCGATGCTGACGAATCCAAGAGGCTAGAGGCAAACTCTATCGGCATATTATGACCGGACGGAGGGAGGCGACGAAGAATGTAGGTGTTATGCCGGGTCTAGCAGATACCAGCGTCTTCAGAGAACAGCTTGAGGTGTGTTCACGGGAAGAGTTAAGGGATCTGCGCACACGAAAGAGCGGGTGAGCACGCACGTGGCCACGTCGCGGGCGAATTATTGCGGGAACGGCCGGACGTTGACCATGACCACCAGCAGAGCCGGAATTTGCCGGAATGACGGAAGGCGCCGGCGCTAGAGGCTCAGCTTGGGCACGGGGCTGAAGGCAACTGAGAAGGCTCAGGGTAGCGAGGTGTGCACGGTGGCGAGGCTGGCGGGGCTGGCGGGGCTGACCTGACAGCTTATGCAGGGGCAAGGGCAAAAAGGGCGAGACAGATGACGGCCAGCAAAGTTCCGGACATTTAGGTGGGATGAGCTTTCTGGCACGGTTCTGCAATCCACCAGAACCAAACCAACGAAACTGGCTTGTGCCAACAATTAACTAATTGCTTCCGACACGACAAGGACAAACGTGGCTGCCCTGCCACGAGGCATTCGAGTATGCGCGGACCGTGAGGGATTCAAACAGGCCAGTGTCGAACTTTCAGCTTCCAGACCCATCGGCGATGCAGACCTGTGTGTAGCTCGAGCCTCATTCTGGCCCCGACCGTGCAGCCATCCACTAGCCTAAGCCCGTCCAAGTTCGGCTTGGCCGAAGAAGCGGTGCCAGTGTAGGCGTAGACGCGAGACAGGACGACCTGATCCAGGTGGCACGTACCAGGCGGTCCAAAAGTTGAACGACGAAGCCGCAGCGCCGGTGCGCACAACCCGTGTCTAGGTTACAGGAACACCCCTGAAGACAACACCACTGCGCATCTCGCACGAGGCAGGCTCGAGCTGAGCATGAACGACTGGTAGAGAGGCGAGGAGTATGGCCTGCAGAACTTCTTGCGCCTCAGCGCTAGCCTCCCGTCGAGAAGGATTCCCATCTAATGCAGTGGGTCGAGGTCAAGGTCCCTGTGTGGCTGTCTGTCAGATTCTGCCCAGCCGTAGGCCTGCTCAAATCTCGGGAGGCCTGACAATGCGAATCCTACGAGCGCACACACCAAGCTTGAATATGTCTGAATGCCTCCGGCCTCTATTTTGCCCGGCCCCAAATCCATAGCCAGGTGAAGCTATCTAACAGGAGTGAGGGCTCAGGCTACGGCTCATTCCAGCTCGCACACTGAAGCAAATATGTGACGACTGCGGCGATCGGGAGGAAGCATTCCAGCAGAGTATCCATCCCCGTGAGTGCACGAGAGGTGCAAGCGTGGAAGAATTTTCAGCTCACAGAGACAAAGAGCCGTGTTTAGATACCAGCCCGGGCAGGGCCAGGCGCGGAAATTGCTACAGGCCGGCTCAGCCCACTTCGCTCCGGTGGCCGCAGCTTTCCTAGCAGCTGTGCAGCGCTTCTCTCCCTTTCCGTCACTCAAACGGGACAAGACCACGGCATTAAGGCGAGAGAGAAATGCTGGATAAATTAAGTGGCTGCACATGTAGAGTGTGGCCCCGCCCGCTGGTCATCCGTCACCCTCCCAAACACGGCCAGCCGCTATTGTTCGGCCCGCGTGTACCTCACGCCTGCCACGGCGACGAGACGAGTCGTTGCCAGATAGCTGCATCTGTGCTAGCCCTGTATTGCCCACACTATCAACCGCCAGAGATTGTTGGATGGCAGTAACCTGAGTGTCACGGAGCTGGGCCGGCGTATTGCTTAAACCAACGAAGCATAACACACACACATGCGTCACGATCACTCAAGAAAATGGTGTCATCGCAAAATCGAGTACAGTGTGCTGGTAATTTGCAGCCTTGGCCATTGGAGGCTCAACTGCTGTTAAGTAGAATGTCCTGTCCATTAGGGGAAACGACGACGGGACGTAAGAAGGAAACAGTGCTATTCACGTCTAACCGCTGGGTTGGGTCAAGGTTTCGACTTAGTGCATAGGGAATGGAATGCTAGTAACTTTTGATCATAGTATCGATATCATCTTCTTTGCGTCACCGTAATACATGGTTCAGATTTAGCAGTCATACTTTCAAACATTTCAATATACATGATTATCCAAACGCCGCACATGACACTGACCCAACTCCATCGCTCATCTATCGCCTGCCCGGACTCGCATGGTCGTTTTCATGATCAATTTCATTTCGTCAAGGTCACCACTCTGGCAACAAGTGCGTCCCTCGTTGTCGTCTCCAAAAGTTTGTACGATGTATCCATTCGCTCCCCAATAGCCATCCCCATCGCTCGAGCATCGGGCGCGATAGTTCCCAAGACATCTCGTCCAAAGGGTTGTCTCCCCAGATAGTAATGGGGTGATTGCTACCTACCTCGGATTTGAGAATGCCGAGCTCATCGACAAAACTGCGAGCAAGGTCTAAAGTCACGGTCATAAGCCGTTCGCGCAGAGATGGTGAAGCTATCATATCAATTCCGTAGAAGTGTGGACTTTCCATTTGTATTTTTACCGGTTTCAACGGGTTCGGAAGCATATCACGGAGAGATCTGAGTATTGCGAGGTGGCGCTGCGAATCTGTGATGATGGTCTGGTCGGAACACAAAGGTTTGAATAAATCATAGAGCTCCATGCGCGCCTTATTCCGGTCATATGGAACTAGAGCCGGAAGCCTAGTGGTGTAAGTTTAGCTAATCTGTACCAACCTACCCGGAATACTTTTACCCACGATGGCTGACTCATGATAGATGGTCGTTGCAAAGATGGTGGAAGTGCGGAAACCTCGACTTTCATGGGCTGAAAAGTGGGCCCCAGTGGAGGCCGAGAACTTCGATATCCTGATGGTTCAGGTGAGCTTTGGGAATTCTGACGGATACCTGATGAATGTACCAGTGAGTATGACTGTGTCGACAAGTCATGTTCTGTATAAGCTTGCAGCGATGGAGTCATCATGGACGCTGACATGGAAAGATTCCCCATTGGAAGCATATCTGGTCCTACTAGATTGGGGGGGCTGCCGGTACCGGAGAGTGATGTACCTGAGACGGATGGTGAGAGCGAGTATTGCCGGTTGTCCATAGTTGCATTAGACATGAGATGGCCTGTAGAGGAGGTGCTGTAGATTTGCGCGCGTAGAGCGTCATTTTCCCTTTTAAGTTCTTCGTTTTGAAATCGCAAGCGTTGAATTTCCTCGGCCCTTTCCGAACTTTGCTCCTTTTGTGCCTGTTCGAGACTCTTGAGGTGTTCCTTGCGCCGGCGGCCTATGTACGAGTGTTCGGTTAGTCCTGGCAATGGTGCTTTCCTCCAGAACGTGTAGGCTTACGGAATTCCCGCTGGGCGAGTCGGTTGTACTGTATCGAATTTTTAGCAGCTGAGGGAGTATGGAGACGAGATGGGAACAAAGACGTACCTCGCGCTTCCTTTCTTCCTTATCAGCTGCTGAATCCATGCTCACTTTTAACGTGTACTGTCTTTCGTGGCGGACAGTCGTGGCTGTCAAGGTCATTGCTGTCAAGCTATCGAGCTGTTGAAGGGCGGCTAAGAGTGGTAGAAGGGATACGGATGGGTGGCGGGGTCTTGAGGACAATAAAGCTGCAAGCTCAAGATGGGAATAACTCGCTAATGTGATCTTATTCGGCGGATTAAAAGGAATTATATCTATCTCCGAGACCGAACGCATGTAGGTGCTGGGCGGTGCGAGTCCCGCCGCAACAACAGATCCCGGCATGGTGAGTGCAGGGAGTCTGGGAGATGGAGAAGACTGGAGAGGCGGGCTAGGCGGGGGGAAACCGTAGCCGGGGGGAGGCTTGGAGGGAGAATCTCTTTGTAAGCGACTAGTTCAGTAACTACAGCATAGTCAGTCCAAAAGTACCTTTAAGGTTTGGCCAGGTATGGACTTGCTAGAGATCGCGGACGTTGAAGGGGCTGAAATTAGATCTCGAGCACGCACCATGGGGGTCAATAGCATTGTAAAATGGCAGGTTTACTCACGACACTTAACATTCATCGGCGTCGCGAGCAGTAATTTTGGAGGGGGGAGAGAGCATGGGCCATGGGTATTGCTAAGGAAGCTTTTGGTATTCAGGTGTAAGGCGCTTTATTGTGAGGTTTGAGCTGCACGACACGGGGCGTGCTGGGTGTCAGGGACGGTTCTGTCATTATACGAGCCAGCCAATACCATCCCAGGAAGTGCTCGCTCTTGCTGAATATGCATCTGTCACGTCCCCGTTGATCAATTTAAAAACAATTTTGTGCGAGGCGAGGCGACCCAAGATTCAGGGGTCGAGTAGGTAGCAACTAAGCTGTTCGAGCTGGCTGTTGGAGGGTACGAGGGGCTCTGTGCATTCTGCACGTCCCCACGCCGCCCCAGATATCATGAGGGCGGGGGGAGATGGCGCCGGCTGCACAGTTCCGCCCTTGTCTAACTCTCATCTGAGACAAGCTGAGAGAATCAAATTCTTTGCAGATGGCCTCGAGATTTGGTGTTGAGTGGATGACGCGAGACCACTGGGCCGGCTTCGATCAGCCGTTGAAGCCCTAGAAACACGGCGACGGTGCCTATCCTCTTGCTCAAGTGACGGTCCCCTCTTGCGTCGGCTGCTCAGGGGCTCAGTGAGACTCGCTGGCGAGCAGACGGAAATACATTTGGTCAGCTTTCTTTTCCGTTCGTCGCTCTGCCGCTCGGTTAGCACGGTCGGTGATTTCCAAATTTAAATTGTAACAACTGTGAGATTGACCCGATGAGAAGCCTGAAAATCTAATCTCTTCGCCCTAGCCGCCCTGACCTAAGCACAACGCCATGGCCTGAAAGGGAATAGTGCATATCGCCCTTAACCGCTGTGACCTATAGAATCATCTCGTTCCCGCGAACCAATCAGGTGGAGCCGCCTCGGGCCTGGAATTCTTCATCCATCAGAACAGACGCAGAGCATCCTAACGACCTGCATCAACCGACGCGCCACGAGTCTTGTTGATCCCGGAGCAGGCTGAAAGGAAGGACGAGCATTGCCAGAACAGCTCATCGCCCACTCGCCGCCCCGGTCAAACGAGCGCGAGAGGCCTGCGGGGAGAAGGCATCGTAGCCAGTAGAGGCCCTTCCCCACCACCACTCCTACTGCAGCCGGCACGGAGAATCATTGCTTTTGGCCTTAGATTACCTTAGCAGGGCTTCGTTGATGGAGCTGTGAGCGGTCACTAAGCATTCGGCCCCCGGGGGAGATTCTAAAAAGATGAAATAAATCGGCGAGCCAGCGTACCCAACCGCCACCACCTGCCCATCACCTTGCCCCTTTCCTCACATACCCATGAGACCGAAATGTTTTGTCTAGAGATAGAATAGGTCGATATGTGACTCCATAGTCTAGGCTAGTTGACAATTATACGGATGTTTTTGGCATCTTCTGAAACCGCAGCACGGCTAACACGTGATGCGGCTTTCAGCTCACCAAAGCGGGTGTCAGCGAAGCCAAGGAGAAGCACTATTGGGGGGGTTTTTGCATCAGATTTTAATTGCGTATGCAGCTTTCTAGCTATGAGACAATATCAGAGAAAAGTACAGAATAGGTGATTCAACGTAAAGGAAGAGCACTCATGCCTCGGATTTCATTTGCAAGTACCACTGCGAAGTTATGGCGGCTTTTTCTTCACCCCAAGTCAACTCCCATTCGTGAATACCTACCCAGGGGAACGTCTCAAAAACCCTGGGTTATCTAGACCGGCCTACGTCATCCATTATCTTTCCTCCGCGCGATATATGATCTTAGGCGTCTCCTTCCCAAGTAGAGTAGTTGCCCAGGCTACTCGAACTATACCGGAGAACACCACCAGGAGACGGACCACGGCACCTTCTATCGTCTGCTTATTTTTATAGTGTCAGCTGCACTCTCGCAAGCGAAGTCTTGGCGCACACAAAGCTCAATTCGTAAAACTCCTTGCCAAAATTCAAAATCACACGCCCGTCGAGATTGTATCAATATCCGTGTCATCTTGTAAACTCCTACTGATCCCTCTCACATACATCCCAAAGAATTGTCTCCTAGATTTGTGTGAATGCCATGGGGTGTAACTTTTCGCTTGGGATGACGGGCATCTCGAATTCCAAGGGGACTGAAGGGGTAGAATAGATTGATGGCTAGGGACCTGGAGGCTGGATATCAGAGACTGTAATCTCGGAAGAATCTTGACGTTTACGCAGCACTTCAGTATCAGCGAGCAATGGGCCAAAAGCCAGATCGCTTGAGTAGTGCTCGCATTAATGCCTTTTCGGCCATTGAAAATAGCCATATCCAAGCGTAGAGGCGTATTTGGTTTTGTTCCTACTCTCGAAACTCCTCAAAATTCCCTACGATAATGCATGCCTCTCGCTCTTTGAGCGAACTATGACCTGCAGAAACCCATCGACAACCCTTCGATTAGCTAAGCTCGATGAGTCATCATTAGGATATCTTTGAATCGTTGGCTATCAGATATTCTGTGTCAGACGACATAAGGCTCGTCCCCTCTCGAATCCTCCATGGCGTGATTCACTCCAAATACAGTTACATACCCAATGGTTTGATGCAAAGACTGATTTTACCTTCATGATCCTCTTGTTCAACAAGTCATACGAGCTAGAATCTCTTTTAAGCTGTGTCGAGGAATAAGCTGTTTTTTCTCGAACACCTTCTGCAGCGAGAGAGAGGAAGGCCCAAAGGTACCTCTACCACACAAACACATTTGATACCAGGTGCGCTCTATTCTTGACCATCTTATCTCTTGGTCCCTTTCCTTCCGAGGTCAACCAAGGGCTTGTGAAATAAAGATTGAAGAAATTCTGGCACCTTCTGTCATGAGTCTTTTACTTTTCAACTTTGTGCACGCACAAATATGTTTTATTCCCTTGGGATTTTTGCATCGTTAACCCCTGCATCCAATTTGCCCTAACACGTATGGAGGCAACGACTGTACCAGGTATCTGAGACAAAGGATAATTTTAACATCATATTTTCATGTAGTGAGTTGCGCTCGCAGGTATCACCTTTTGGACTGTTCGCAGAAACCTTCAGCCTATCCTCTTCCGAAATTATCCATTATGGGAAATTTTCAGACCCTTCGGCTAGCTAAGTATTTCTTTAATATGCTGTACGAGACAGGACGTAGGCAGGTCACTGAAAGTCGTATACTCTACACTCCTTTGGTTGAAATGCACCTCTACAGTAGAGATTCAGTCACAACATGGGGTGGTTATGAATGCTTTCATCGAGTTGGCAATCAGCAAGCGTGGTGTTGGCAAAATTTTGGTCCAAACCCCGACCTGCAGTGATTTCACGACTGCAAAACCTAAAGAATTCAATCATTTAGATCCCAATTATGAAGCAAAGATAGGCTCATATGTGTCTGACTATCGTATTACAATAACCGATACTCTTCACCATCTCGATTATCACTGGAAGATTTCCCATGGCAAAGCCGTCTCACGACGCTCTCCACAATAGTCTCACCACCTATTAAGGCTCTCTAAATAATATAAAGTCGTGACCGCCCTGAAAGATACCATGGGAAGATAGCCCTTTTGCTCGGATTAGGTCCTGGTCAACGATGTCTAGCCTAATTGTGCTATGTTGCAGGCTACTGTTCCAATTATTCATGGGGTCATCATCAGGGTTATTAGTAGTTTCGTTTTTGGTGTGGGTTGTTAGATTGATACCTAAGCGTGTCGCATAGTAGTCAGACATGCGACTCGAGTAGCTTATGCACGGTACACCTCAAACCCAAAATGATGATATGAATCAGGCTTTACATGCTACGTCCTGTATGGCTAGCGTGGTTGGAATATGGGGAATTTACCTGTAGATAGATAAAGACGTTGTAGCCCTCTGATAGTTGGGACAAGTCTTCTACAATATTATATCGGAATCAATACTAGCCTCTCATTAAGCAATCTCATGAATTATTTCCAATGTCTGTGATAACAGACATACATATACAATATCGACAACAAATTTTAAAGTCGATAAGTTATGAGCCCGGAAACTGTCGACGATCAAGTTTAATGTCGATAACCTTTGCCGCATGCTGTCATAGCACGGTCGAAGTAACGGCCTTAAATGCGACTACACCCTGGATAAGTGCACCACAAAATCGACCTTAGAAGGATCTTTACCGACAAAATACGATTAAAATTTAGCCCCAAAATTAAGCAGAATATGCGGCATAGGCCAAGGTATCGGTCTCGGTCTCGAGCTCCTCGAAGTATATTCGGCCTACCCGGGCAGGGGTACCGCAGCCTTGGTGCAAGGGTTGGGATTAGACGGAATTCAAGTTCCCGAGACGGATATATCGACAGCTGATGCAAGAGAATACTAAAGCAAAGGAGGAAAATGGGGCCAAAGCAAAGGAGGCCTCAAAAGGTTACTGGATGAGGTCTCCAATGAACTATATGACCCCTGGATAAGAAGAGTTACTAAGATTGGACGAATGGGAAAAAGTAATTATTAGGATATTTTCACGAGCCAAGGCGCATGTAGGCCGAGTCCAAGTAGGAATTTGCACTTCGGCTCGTCAATATCGGGCTCTCAGGTCGACTGGAATTGGTATTATACAATATTTTGGTGAAGTCTGAGGTAGCACGGT